TTCTTTTAAATAAAACAAGTTTCAACTTCATAACGTTCTTAGTTTTTTATTTATTAACAAATTAAAAGGGTTACTTAATTCTGAAACACCCTGTATTTCGGTGCAGTAATTGATATCTGAATTTTAGAATCATAGAAAGACTCCCAAAATTCCCCTATACACTCAGTTCAAATGGATCCGCAGACCCAGGTCCAGGCTGCATGATACTGACTTCATTGCTAGACGGAATTCCCAAGATCGTGAGGATGGAATTTCTTGAAATGAAAATCCGTCGAATTTTTTCGACTCGCCAGCGAAGCGGCGGTTGCCGTGCAAGAATTAATCGGGGTTTCCCAGGCGCATCTCGGCTTTCTTGGAAATTTCCTTCGACGTTTTTTCAAAGATTCATTGGATCGTTGACCTCTTGAAAATGATACGAAATAACTGACGGTTGGTTTGAATTTTATAATCTCGTCATTATAATCAAGTTAAATATATTTGATTCAATCATTACCTCTATATCGATTCGTGAAATTGCTATACAGGTCAGTATTATTCGTAATTTCTCTCCTAATACTAACGGAAATTTCGTTTTGTCACAATTCATTTCTCACAAAGCAAATGTCAATCTTTACTCTTTACCTAATAAAATCTTTACCCTAACAAAAATTTGCACGATGGCAAAAATGCCGTCAACCATGAAATTGGCTCCGTGCATAATAATATAAAACCTATAATAATAATCAGTATTATTTTTGGCCGTTTTACCCACAAAGATGAGGCCTGTATGGGAACTTTTGGGAAGAAGTATGTATACTCTAGACTTGAATTTTGTTTTTCTCAAACACTCTCAGATTTCAATTAGATCGGTCGTTAACAAATACAAATTTTCGGCCCTCGTAGTATAAACGTCGTTAAACGATAATCAATACCAAGATCATTCAACACCGGCACGCTCCATGTGCGTCCTTAGGGACGGTGAACCTACGGTGCAATGTTGTCTCTGGGGTGTGCCACTGAAAAAAATTGCAACTGACTTCCGAGGCCAGAATTGCAGCAAGAATGAAACAAAAACACGTTACGGGCTCCAGCCTCTACAGGAAACGCCGTTTTTTGTATCTCATCTTAAAGGTTTTAGCTTTAATTGTCCTGCTAATGTGGCAATTCGCTAGTCACGGTTACCGTTTGATTTCTCGCAGGCACAATCAATTAGATCATTTCGTTTGAGCGCAACTCGAATAATTCCAATTACAAGATTTCTTTAATACACTTGTTTCTAGGGCATCTGCAATACAAATTCACTGAAATTGATTAAAAACAAAAAATTTCGTCGTCTTTAACCATTATTATGATATCGCTAATATAGAGATGAAGCTCCTATAAGTAATCATTGAAATTGGTGCCAGATTATCAGAAAAAATACTTTAAATCGTTCTTTTCCCCGGCCAATAGGAACGCAAACATTGAGTTTCGTAATATTGGTATTCGTGTATTATTTATGTTACTCCGGGACAGGGTTACCAGGGAAAAAAATTCTCAATTAAATGTAATCATTTTCGAGAAATTGTAAAAGCAGAGGGCTCGCTGAAAGCTGAGGTATGCAGATGAGTAGCATGCAGACTTATACAAAACTACAGCGCATATGCTTCACTAACCTGGTTATCGTAAATATTTGCGTACATATGCCAATGACCAACAGTATATATGTAATAATGGTTATTCAAACAAACAAGCAGTAGGTGGTATTGTCAAGTAGTAGGTGGTATTGGTGCGAGTCTTCAGGCTGCATCGATAAAATAGAAGGAATCAAGTGGCCAACAAATGAAGGTTGAATTTCAGGGAACTCGTATAATAATTCTATGTAATACGATTATTGCAGCTAGTAACGAGTTAGCCATAGTCAGACACAGGCCGCATTCAATAAATTATTCCGAGGTCGTGAACGCTAGTTTCACGTGGATAACGAGATAAGATAACGATACATGTCTCATTCAGCGATCTTTATACAGATATAAACACTAGCAATCGATTTCATGTGAAGAGTTAAAGTTTTCCTCTTCAGCAATGACATTAAAAATGAAAAAAAATGGAAATCTCATGCGAAGCGATGGTCCACTGAGGTAATTTTTGAGGATGATGTGAAACTAGCAATAGTGCCTACCTTCTGTGATAGGTGGGACTAGTGAACATAGTTCATTATCTGATACGAAGGACTAGCTTGCTGGCCGTGCGACCAGAAGAAAAAATGTCGATTGAAAGTGTCGGTGGCTCGATCCATTCCCGTGACCTGTGCCTTAAGAGGAAGAGTCTCTTGCTTGGCATCTGCAGAGAGAAAGGCTTCATGCCCGACGACTGTTTCAGCGGCAGATGGTCACACAAAGCCTGTCCATCCAACTGCACCAACGAATATACTTGATGTTTGAAACACCTGTTGCTTTTATTGACCTAAATATACTAGTGTATGTAGTTAAAATTTAATATTCTCAATCTCTAATACAAAATTACCTATACACTATAATAACCAATGAAATTAAAAATTGGAACTAGGCTTAAAGTTCGAAACATATTCATAGCACAAATAAAAAGGGTCAGAAATCTTCAAGAAGTCACTGAATCTGAATTTCAGGCAATTTTTCCTCCAAAATATAACTAGGAAACATCATCCTGTAATGTGAATTTGACGCATAGAGAGAATAGTTTTCTAGAATATTACAATAGTGGGTCAGGATTTATTTGTTTAAAAAGCGTTCCGCTGAAAATTACACAGTTTACAGTTAGCAGTTTAGCTTCAAATTGTGAGTTGTTCGTAAACGTCACGCGCCCTCTTTCTTTTTCGCTCATGTGTTTGAGGCATCGTGTTTAGATGCAAGGCGATCAATCGTGAAGCAAATGATGGGGGTGACACATCATTATTCGATGACCCATCATTTTTCAGCGACCTAAGATTCTTCACTGATCCATCATTCTTCAATGGCTCATCAAAACGTTCTGGGTATGACAGCATTCCATATAGCCGAGTTCTGATTAATTCATCTTTCCATATAGCCGAGTTATGATTCATCAAACTCTCTTGAGTCTCTTCCTTATGACTTGCATGCTGGTGGATAAGGCAATTTAAAAAAGAATACTTGGTCAATTTTAGCTTAGTAATTTGACAATAATTTATTCTATGTCAATAATACTACAATAATATTTTTTATCAATAATAATCTATCTAAGTAAAATAAAGAAAAACTAGTCCATCAGTCATATAAATTAGCAACCTGACGCCGACAACATCTTGGACGGGTGTGTTTGTTGCTGCTTATCTCCAGCCAGCTTCACTCGCTTACGTTGCGAGATGTTCCATCAATTGTTGGCAGAGAATAATTTTTAGTTATTAAATTTCGCGATTATTAAGCTCACATGCTAGAAGAGTATATTTTGAGTTTCGGTGTCGACTATAATAATGGGTTAATAAGTAAGTTCAGATTCGGGGCAATTCTCGGTTTTTCTTTTTAAAAAATAATAATTTGTACTAAATTAAATTACTATAAGATTGAATGTTGCGTAGGGATCAGCTCGTGGGCATGGCTAAAAGTTATCAGTTACTGTTAGCTCAGATTTTCAAGCCTCAACGTACTCCACAAGGTTAAAAAAGCATTCAAGGTGTAAAAGGAATAGTACACAAATATAGAATATAATTTGTACTGATCACCGTGGCGTCTGACATGGGAGCTCGACTTTGTTCCTCAAATGTTATCGTCGAGTTGAAGGTTAGGAATGTCGGACCTGTATGTATTGTCGTATCCTGATGGCAGGACTGGTGTGTGTTTATTCTTGCTGGCTGTAGGATCTGACAACAGGAGCGAGATGTCTGTTACATGACATCTTTTTGTAGGGATTTTAGTCGCCATTAGTAGGTTTAATGCAGGGGCTCCCTAGCTGCAATAAGGTTTAATAAATATTATATATAAGGGGTTTTCCTAACACCTTTGTAGCCATGGACGATATTTTGGTTTCCTTTTAACTTCACAACGTGCTAACGTAATGTAAGAACGTGCAAATAATGCATACCTGAGACTTTATATAGGAAATCGAGGAGGGAATTTAGTAAAAAATGCGTACTATCAGTGCCTAATAAATGAAATTGTGTTTGAAAATCTATTTAGTATGGAATATAGAAATTTGGGCACTATTTACTCCTAAAACACCCAGAGTTATTCATCCCCTGCGTTTGCACGCTAACCCGTAGCTCAGTTTGATTTACACACTCAAGAATAAAACGGCAATTTTTTTTCAATTGGCCGGCACCTCCCTCCCCCTTCTAAATGGCAAATCATTCAGCTTAGCGAACATCGAAATGATTATTCGCTAGCGTGCATCGCTGTGCTGGGGTGAGCTCAGTCTAGAGGTCGGCGGTATACATGCAGTAGCAGCTCGTGAAAGAGGTCGTCAATAAGAGAAAAGACAAGTGAGAACCATGCAAAACTACAATATACAAATTAGTGGTAAATGAAGATGAGAGATTCAAGTTAACGGTCCGTGAATGATGTTTTCCACATTTTTCACATGCTTGTTTTCACTTAGCGGGTTAGTAAATGAACGCCCCCGGTGCAGGATAGAATCAACTTGACATGAATACTGAGAGTTACAAGGAGTCCGAAACAGGAGGTGCATGCAGAATGAAATAAATAATGAAAATGAACAAATTAACTAGAGTGATCATGAAAAAGAAATATAACTAAACCAAACCAGAAGAAGAAAATAAGAGAACAAAAGCCGAGCGAGTCCTTCCAGGCTAATCGCCCATGGAGGTCGGAATTCGGCGCTGGTTTCCCTTAGATAAGCCCATAACCCTTCTGGAAATCTGGAAATCTCCCCATATTGATTCGAATCATACATGGATTGGCCGCAAAATACGCCTGAAACTTGCCAAAAACTTAGTTCCCCCACAAAAGATCTACACTGACCAATGTTATACAGAATTTTCACTAAAATGCCATTTCTCACAGAACTGTGATGGATAATCAAAGAATGGCTATTTTAAAAAGTTCTTCATTGTAATCAATAACGGCAAAAGAACAATGGGCTCAAGATAAAGACTATGACTTACATTTATATTTACAAAGCACATCTCACAATAGGATTCTAAACATAGGCCTGAAATACACACAACTTTTATAAGCTTCTAATAAAACACAAAACCTCGTGTTTAAAACAATAGACACGATTTTTAGAAGCTCTGAACAGCTCATTTATGTCTTTACAATGGGCTATCAGATATATTTTGCAAAATAAGCATAAAAACTCGAGGCAATAAGCATTTTCATAATCGAATAATTCACAAATCTGGAACTCAATAAAATCAAGAGTTACCTATATTTTCGCACGTAAATTATCTCATAACAAAATTAGTTCCAAATAGATCGTTAGGTGCATACGAATATACTGAGAGAAGTAAAACTGTCAGACTGTACTAAAGGAGTTAACTAGACTGCAAGTGTTGGGGCTAAACAATCGTAGATGCGATTACGAAATCGAGCGGACGTCAGAAACGTTATCCCCAACTCCGCTGTTCTTTTTACACTTTGAAAACTCTAAACTCTAATAATATGTCGTACAGGACTTCTTTACTTACATTGCACGCTGCGTAAAAAGACTTTTTCACTGTAAAAGATGTAGTAAGCTTTTTCCGTATGGGCTAAAAGCTATCAAATTAATTGCTGTCCTACAAAACCATGATAATTGAGTGAAAAAGTTCTGATGCTTCATGAAACATGGACCGTATGCCCAAATTGAACTGTGATAATGATGGAGAATTTAATGCATTGCATTGTATGGCTTTTGCAACTGACCATTCAATGTTTCAACCAAAAGAATTGAGTTTATCAAGTGTAACACATTTTGAATTTGTTTTTCAATGAAGAGGTAACCCTAAAACATACAGACCTTAGCGCAAATTTCACTTTTGGCAAGAAATAAGCCACAGAATATTCAAAAAACGCTTAAAAGCAGTTTTTGCTAAAATTATGCTCAAAATAAATATTATGCATTAGTAATTAACGACCAAAAATACTTTCCGACTCTGAAGTTTATTTCGTTCATTTATTATTTTCAAATCGTCCATACTTGTGATAAATGAGCTGAAATTTGGTGATATTTGTAATCTTCGGGCGGTGAAAGACTCTTGAAAACTTATTGGGTTAACGAGCATGGAATAAAATCATCCTCGGCAGTACATGAAAGCATATACTGACTCACTACATAGAATAATACGCAAATTTAAATGCTGACTCTTAAAGCATATAATGATAAGAACTAATAAAGTCTGACTCGTCACACATATAGCGGCGACAGACAGTAAATGATGATTCGCAACAAAGAATGATATGGGAAAGAACAGCCGACTCGCTACGCATACTATGCAAATGTCGTCTCATAACCAGGCTGAAGTTCTACAAGCTTAGCCAAAGATTTGACCAGAATTAACCGAAGTTCTCGAAGTGGTGGATGAAGTAAGGCAAACGTCTGCCGGTGTTGACGTTCTCGACAGCGCTGCTAACGCTCTTTGTCAGGGGGTTGGGCCCGCAACTGAACACGCCTATCTTCGAGACCTGAGTTAGAAAAGATATGGGAGTTGTAATTAAAACGGGGGCTTGTTCCTTTAGATCAACTCTGTCTACGACCGAATACAAATTTGGTAAAAAAACAGTAATTCAAATTGAATTCATGTTAGAATGTTTCAAATTTTACTCAGAAATATTACTTTTGAGTCCTAGACGAAGTTAACTCACGTAGTGATGTTTCTTCTGCACAAACTTTAGGAAGGCCGTCATGTCAGGCCGGCCGAAGTGGTTGATGGCTTTAAGGCCCGTAAACATGCTACGGTCGCTCAGCTGCTGGAAGTGGTTCTCGCAGATATACTGTTGATGAAACCGTCAGAACTTATAATAATACAGAGATGCGAGTGCATAAATAAACCTGTTCAAATTGGAGAAATGTAAAATTACGGCAAAGATAAGAATTATTGGTTATAAATATTGTAGAGCAGTAAAATGAATGTTAATTTATCAAAAATGCACAAGAACACACAGCCGTATTGAAATTCAATGTCATCAAATATATAACATCTATAAATTTACATATTATATAATATAAAATAATAATATAATTAATAATTTATATATAAATTATATAGATTTTCTTTAATTGTATAACAATAAATGTTTTTGATGTAATAGATAAACTCGCTTAGATAATAGATAATAGATGGTCGCTTACAGTAATAGATGTCGCGAAAAGAAACATACCAGCATGGTGGTTCTGAGGTCGAACTTGTGGAAGAACTGAGTGATGAAGATGTGCATCTCGAGTACGTTGGTGACGTCATTCTTCTCTACCTCGCGGAGCACATCAATGAACCACTCGAACTGTCGGTGCGTGGGACAAATCCAGAGGAAGTACACCTGAGGAGAACACACCATTTCAGCGGATGTAGCTACCATGAACAAAGGAATTTGTTGTTCACGGATGAAAACATGACACCTACTTCTAACATCACATCATGATAGGTACATGAAGAAAAAACCTGAGCATACGTGGGCAACTGTCCTAATAGTCAGATTATTAAAGATCAGGAAACATTTATACTCAGTCACGCTTGTTCAGCTTAAAGAAGTCGTGGAACGGAGAATTATAGGACTTGTACCGGAGGAAATGTAGAATAACGGTGGAAAAATTATTTTGTTTATTGCAACCTCCCACATTGGCCGGGAGATTTGTTCACATGTTGTTACGTTCACTAGTCGAATAACTTCTGAGTCCAAGTTAAGGTGGAAGAAGATCAGAGACGAGACTAAAGATTTAGGAATTGTTTTTGGTGGAATCTAATACACAATTGAAGGGCAATGGCTTGTCAGTCTTACATTGACATATTAATGATAACATTGTAGTTCTATTTGAATTTGAGCATAATCCGTAAACACGTAACTCGAGTTCAAATAAAACATATGGATAAATTTGTGCGGAATCTTTTGCAGGTGGCATGCCTTGTGTGTGTTCCCAGCGAACCTTTTTGCAAGCGACGCCCGAGTATCGGTTGGTCGAGGTGCCGAAGACGAGGTCGTTGAGGATGGACGCGTAGGGCGTGACGCCGATGCCGCCGCCCACCATCACCGCCACCTCGAACTTGTACCAGTCCTGGTTGCCGCCGCCGTACGGGCCTTCTAGCCGCAGCTGCAACAAAATGTTAGAATTATTATTATTATCTTCATTATTATTATTAATAAAATTACAATTGTTTTTATTATCATTGGTATAAGAAGAGTTTACGGTGATGTCTGCTACAATCAGGACACTGGGACATGTTACATATAAAAAAAACAAGAAAAAGTTTAAAGTGAGCGAAAAACACAACAAAAAATATTTTTACTCAATTAAAATTACTGCATGTCCCCAAAAAACTTCATTAAATTGCATGGATGATCAAAGCTGTGAGTTGAGACAAGGCTAGAACGATGGCCATTACTTCACTTTACTGAAGCAGAGACAAGCCTGTACGGTAGCCAACTCACCCGAGGAGGGTTCTCTTCATCAGGAATGTAGTTGTGAGGGTCGAAGAATTTCCTGAGTTTCCATGTCCAGGGTCCCTGAGCTTTGATGTGGCAAGACAAGAAGTTCTCGTGAGGGGCGGACGTGAGGGTAAACGAGTGATACTCGCTCTGTCTGAAGGCCGTACATGACAACCGTACCCACTGGCCGCTCTGGTACTTGAAGTTTGGAGGTCTGGACACGCAGAGAAATAATATGAGAACCTCTTCGTACTTTCGTGTAATATGTGCAGACATTGTTGGCCTTGTGCAGATTATGAAAAATCAAATATATTTCGAGAGAGAAATCTACAAAACTTACGATAAATTTGTAGCGAATACAATTGTTTATTCTGTTAAAGCTATAACGCAGAGCTGATACAAACCTGTAGAATTTGATTTTGACGACGTCTGAAGGAAGCAGCTCCGTCTCGATGATGTCGTGCTCCATGTAGCGCGTGCGCAAGCTGATGATCTTATCTATCATGTATACCACGCCAGGGAAAACGAAAAAGATCCAAAACCTGAAAAGAAAACAATTTGTTCAATAGAACTATTTCATAGTTTACACATTAGCCATGGGCAGGGATCCAATCTACTTTTCACATTGAGTGAAAAAATTCTAGGAAAACAAAATTGAATTTTACCCAAGCTGATAATGCGTAAGAAGATGATCAAGAATGAAGTAATTAAAGTTAGAAGTGACCTGGGAGCTCCGGTGAGTCTGGCGAGACCGTGCGCCAGGCTGAAGATGTACAGGAAGACGTACAGTTGATGTGCTGCCCAGAAGTACTTGTATGCTTTCTTCCGGATGATGGGATGTGCGAAGATGAAGATGATGCACATAATCACGAACAAAATGATGCCTGTCACGCCTGAAAAGTCATATTAATTGTCATTTACAGACGTTGAGAATGATTGAGCAATACTATAGCAAATTGAGCCAGTATTTATGAACTAAATAAATGATTATCTAAAGGTGTTTATAATGACAGCACAAAATTATCGAGATAATTCTTCAATTTAATGTGGATTTTACAGGTAGATCAAATTATTGGGACAATAAAGAGACTTTAATTTAAAATTTGTAATAAATTGGTAGGTATACTATTACAGGCCATACATTGAACGACAACACTTTGAGGTAATCGATCATTATAAGTCAAAATAATTATAATTATAGCTACAAGTGCGCACCAGTGAGGGTACCAAAAAGCCAGAAGGCAAAGGTTGGCTTTTCATCAGAGTTGAATGATATTTCTTTGGTGAGACATCGGAGGTTCTCGAGCGGCTGTGTTGAGACGTGGTAGAAGTTGACCAAATGCCCCACAGTGTGCAGCAGACTGAAGAACAGCGCTGTCGTAGCCACGATCTTGTGGAACTGAGCAACATCGAGACAAAAGATATATTTATGATACTGAACAACAATATTGTGACAAATATATACAATACATAAATACCTAAATCCTGTGTAACCGAACAATTCTGTCTTAGACCTAAAGGCATTTCTCAGGATTACTTCCGCGTAGATACTTCTTCAATAAGTTACTTCGCACCACTTAAAAGTTGTAATTTACTTCCAGGAAATGTGTATCGAGATGTACCTGATATTTTTTTCTAAGAAATTGGCAAATTTAGATCGGTGCAGAATTGCCTAGTGAAGATAACATTTGACATTTTAAGATATTTATCACTTGACATTTGATGTGCTACTCACCTGTATATGGGAGTCTATGGGAATGTACTGCTGTTCGATGAGCTACTCACCTGTATATGGGAGTCTATGGGAATATATAGCTGTTCGATGTGCTACTCACCTGTATATGGGAGTCTATGGGAATGTACTGCTGAAGGGACCACTCCTTGAGGCGGGTGAGCAGGTTCCTGGACATGGTGAGCAGCAGGAGGCAGTAGCAGAAGCTGAGGGATGCCGCAGCGCCGCGCGTGATGGCGATGCCCACGCCCATGATGTGGCGCAAGTCCGTGTGCTCCGACATGAACGAGTAGTCTGTGAACATGTGTAGCATGTAACCTTACATAATAAATAATATTTGTTTGCAATACATAACACAATTTCGTATGAGTGGACGCTTAAATTAGCTTGAAAATGCACGTAAATTTGCTAACAGATGGAAAAAATCAGAGGACAGTCATGTTTGTGTTTAATATGGCTATAAAATTCAAGTTTATTCTTGATTATAATGATATAAAAGTATACGAAACAAAAAAAACTAACTAAAATTCCCATCACATCTAATTAAGGAAATGAAAATTTATATTAATGAAATAAAATTTGAAACTTATGTATGGAAAATTGTGCTTATAGCGGGACATCACCTTCCGTCGCTTACGGAACAGTTACTCACGGATGAAACGTTCACAGAAGAGGGCGACGGTGATGACGTAGAAGACGACGAGATAGAAAACGTTCTGGCGGTTCTCCTCCAGGTACGTGGCTAGGAGGTCGTATTTCTTCAACAACCAGTGACGGTTGAGGTCTCGTATCTCGTTAACGTGGAAGCTTGCCATCCTGCGAACCATCAATTTACGTGAGCACTGTGTGCAGACTGCAGGAATTAATAGCTTTTAACTTTAGGTAGAGATAAGCTACTTGACGAAAATGGAGTTACGAGCCTTTAGTTTGGCTCTCTAGTATCACATATTAATTTGATAGAAGACCACTTTGAAACTAACGAGTTTCAGCGTCAATTAAAAATTTAGGTTCAAATATTCCACACTTTATTGATGTGCCCTCGCGTCATTAATCGCGAATAACCGGCGATAGGCTTAGATCAATCATGTGCTCAACGGAATGAAGTGCTGACGTGAGTATACTTATTACTTTTTGTAATCATAATTTGTCAAGAAATAGAGGTCGCATCAAAATAATACATGACCAGCCTGCACCTCACGTAAACAATGGACGCCTAACTGCCCTAATTGCTCGGCCATCACCGACGCCATCTCTCTTCCTCACCAGCGCGCGCCGAACATCAAAATAAAGATTTCTCCTGCCACTGAAGATTTGCGGTGAGAAAATTGGTCGTTACTGCCGGATCAGTGAAACTAGATCTTAGTGCATTGTCAAACTAAAATATTCACGAGATATTTCATCTCAAAATGTTACAATTCAATCCTCAATAATTACCTAAAAGAACCTAGAAGATAGACTTGAATAATTGATGAAATGTTTAAGACACTCTTTCTAGAAAGAAAGAAAAAATTCACATGACGGCAATTGCAGCTTGAAGCACAAACACTCGATGAGGTATACAAATGTATTTAAATTGTGAATTCGTAAATAATTAAACTACTACTCTTTCAAACGTCTTTGACAAAAGCATTTGCTTCATCACACGTAACTTGACAAAAAACATGCGCGTGTTTATATCCGAGTAATGAGCCGGAATTTCTTTCCAACAAAGACTCCACAAATTCATGAGTCGTAATACATCATGTTATCCTTCTCGCAAATTCAGTTACAAGTTCTTAACGAAGCTGCAGCTGCAGATATTTGCACTCCACTACTTGGACTGAGAGATGGCCGAAGGTCGATGTTCGAATGTGAAGTGTGAAGAACTTCACAATTAATTTGGACGCTCAGAATGGGAGATCGAAAGTTTCGTTCATCTCGAGGCTCAGAAGCTTTATTATTTTTCGAAGCTTCATTTCCCTTCAAATTCTCACTTATGAGGTTTGCAATAATATCAATCCGTCTGTTTCGATATAAGTTGGCAAGGGAAATTTTAGTACTTAATTTCTAAATTTACAAGAGCACATTAACAGAAAAGCCAATTGGAAATCCCAACTAATGAAAGTCATCGTTCATTGTGAGGTGTAAGCATCCTAAACCTGAAATGGCAGCAGGGGGTCTCAATAATTATTGCTGTCATAACTCAAGTAACCTTTCATGACTTGATAGACAAATCCATCCTCGCTCTTCTAATGCTATTCTTATCAGGACTCTAAATTCAAGCCATCTGTGCGCAGTTAAGCACCTTGTTGCACAGCGTCGCTGGGAAAGCAACAGAGCGGTCGCTAGGATTTACCACTCGGCAGGACTCCTCGACCCAAAGCCGAAATCGCTGGTCATTACGCATGGTCAACGGCGCATCAGAAATGCATCAGCTTATCTGTTCTATTAGCCTTCACTGGCGAAGCTTGATTTTGTAGGGGGATGGGTAAACTAAAGCTGCCTGAACCGAAAGTTCACGGCTGAATAAAATTTATCGATGAATGAACAATTCGTCTGCAGGAAGTTATTATCATGGTATTTTGATCGACTTGTGCAATGACTTTAAAATGTAGCATATCTGTTTCGAAATCTTGGAAAATTGGCGATCGCGGACTTCCGTTTACAATTTGGTTAATGTATCGAGTAAATTAATGAAGTATGGTACGTATTGTTAAAATAGACATTGCTGGTTGAAAACCAATGCATTTAATTGCAGATAATTAGCTTAGTAAACGTGAAATCAGTAGATAAAATGGCCACACCAGTTTTGTAGAAGGTTGCAATTGTTCATGCATTGACCTGGTGCCGATAGTCTAAAGAATGTGAGCGAACATATTTCTAAAATAATCTTAAATCTGAAAACAAAATTATAATAAGAAGTCATGGTCTAACCTGGCGACGTTGGTGGATGTATCGAGGAAATTTTGCTTGGCGCCTTTACAGTCGAGGCCGATGGCGATGATGTCGCCGTTGGACTCGCGCATGAGCTTCTTGAAGTCGTCGTACGTGAGCGCCTCGTTCTCCTTCAGACCCGACGACTTGAACATGCCGTCTATCAGCTGGTCAACCTGATGTGAAACCATACCTTTTCTCTTGAAACTTATTTATTGTTTCTTGTGGTATTTTAAAGAATTCTCGTGAAAAATACATCAATGTAAAAAGAATGAAAATGCAGGGTTTGCATTTTAGCAAAATGTATACATTCGATGAGGAATGCCTGTAATTCAAATGAATAAATTAAAAATCAAATGAAGTAATAATAACAGGACATTTCACGGAATAAGATATATACGAATTGATAATACTTAAAAAATAATCGGATTTCTAAAAATGTTTCTGATTTTAGTAAATGCATGCCAAAATGAGGTAAAAAATTTTGTAATCACCTCAAAGTCAGAGAGCTTTTGTGTTTTGGCGATGTCGACCAACGACCTCAGCATTTCCGAGAGCTCATTTTTATCAATAACTCCATTCTTGTCGTTGTCACACATGTCGAAAATAATGCGCATTTTGTCATCAGTCGAGCCTTTAGAGAACAGAACGACAGTGTTCAGGAACTCCTGGAATGATATTCTTCCGTCGCCATCTTTGTCGACGATGTTGAACATTCTTTTGACAAAGACTTCGTCAGGACGCATGCCAAGGGCGCGAGCAAACTCCTTCTTGGACAAAGACGTTCTCATGACGAGCGAAACGTCGTTGGACGAGTCGTCAAGAATTCTCTTCTCGCCCGGCTTGAGGCCGAAGGTGAGTGCGTATGCTTCTCGGAAGAAATGCTCCAATCGCTTCTTCCTTCGCTCGTTGGTCTCAGCGTTTGCGAGCATTTCTTCTTTGAAGGCGTGTACAACCTCCATCTGCTTGTTGTGGCTTTTCAAAAGCTGTTCTAGTTTGTTCAGGAACTTACGCCGTGACGTTTCGGAGCCAAACTCGAGTACGAGGTCATGGTCTTTTGGTACGCGCACAAGAACCATGGGCTTGCGGTGAGAATCTTGGGTGACTTCGACCGACAGAGACTGGATGTCCTGAAGGGAAACTGTCCGCAGTTTTTCGTCCTTGCGGTTGACGGTGCTTAGTTCTTCTTTCGGGCCAAACTTTACTTTTACGATGCGCTTGTAGTTCTGCAAGTAAAATGTACACATTTTGATGAAATCCGATATTATTCAATAATATACGTTAAGCGGAATAAAAAACGCTTAGCGAAACGAGAATCAGCCTCAAATGAACAAAGTTAATCAAATATCACGTGAAATAAATTTCGTCTTATTGAAGTGATAAAGTACGTGAATTACATGGCAAGGTAAAGGCATATTTAAAGTCTCGTAGTTCCAACAGACAAATGAGCGTCACGCAAGACACCGACCTGATGCAGCCACTCCTTGACCATCATCTTGTCGACGCTCCTGCCGTTGGCCAGCTCCTCCTGGTGCATCTTGGCCTTGCGGCGTCTCGAGTTCTGTAGCTTGACGGTCGCGTAGCCGGCGCCCGCGATGATGATCGGCACCGCTATCAGCAATATGCACGAGTAGATGTACGCTATCTCCGAATCCTGCTCGAAATAAAGTCATAGGGATAAAATTTCTGGAATTAAAAAACGGTGAATAAACAATAGAATGCGAATGACAAAAATAATGAAGTGGGCATTGTTTGGGCTGGGCATTATAATTAATAATGGACTGAGCATTGATTCTATCATACAAAATGAAGAGAAAAGATATGCTAAATGTGCGCTTACATTATTTTATTATGAAAGCTTGTCTTAGGAGTGCAGTGCTCACCCTGAAGTAGTCGAAGCCCTGGAGGTAGGGGCAGGGCTCCATACTGGAAGCGTTGAGCTGCATGGGCTGGGGGCACACGTCGCCGTCCAGGTGGAAGAAAACATTGCGCTGGATGTCGTCCGGCGAGACCGACGACGCGTTCACGATGATATCCCATAGCCTGATTTTCCTGATCTCCTCGATCTCGTCGTACGTGAACATGCTGCCACAAATTCAGTGGAATGAAAATTATTTGAATGAGCATCGCATCTATGTTGTTTTTAATTACCATCATAAAAAATTGTAAAAATTAAACTAATAAGTCGCTAGCAAGTAGGAAGTTTGAACCACGATTCATTACGAAGATGAAAGTTGACCACTCTTAAGTAACTACCAAGCAACAATTTTGACGACTTACTATAATTAAATTGATGACTTGGTAGTTATATAAAAAATTAGAGTGTGATCCAAGAATCAAAGGGAAACGTCTCTTCTCCACTCGATTCAATCCCTGGATTCGATGAACACAATCCATGGATTCGACTCAATAATATCCCTGTACTCAACTCAGTACAAACCCTAGATTCAACTCACTACAGTCTCTGGATTCAACTCAATACAGTCTCTGGATTCAACTCACTACAGTCTCTGGATTCAACTCAATACAGTCTCTGGATTCAACTCAATACGGTCTCTGGATTCAACTCAATACAGTCTCTGGATTCAACTCAATACAGTCTCTGGATTCAACTCAATACAGTCTCTGGATTCAACTCAATACAGTCTCTGGATTCAACTCAATACAGTCGCTGGATTCAACTGAATACAGTCTCTGGATTCAACTCAATACAGTCTCTGGATTCAATTCAATACAGTCGCTGAATTCAACTCAATGCAGTCTCTGGATTCAACTCAATACAGTCGCTGGATTCAACTCACTTGTTATTATTCAACTCACTTGTATTATTCAACTCACTTGTATTATTCAACTCACTTATTATTCAACTCACTTGTTATTATTCAACTCACTTGTTATTATTCAACTCACTTGTTATTATTCAACTCACTTGTTATTATTGAACTCACTTGTTATTATTGAACTCACTTGTTATCTTCGTTCTCGAACCAGAATCTGTCGGCATCTCTGAGCCTCGTGAACTGTTCCTTGATGATGGCGCGGAACAGCGCGCCGGGGCCTTCGTGGGACTCCAGCATCCCGCCCACATACCTGCCCCGACACAAGCGATGTGTCATGTGTTAAGTGGAGGGGAAACAGCATAATACAGGTGTGTGAATTATACAAGCGATGTGTCATGTGTTGAGTGGAGGGGAAACAGCATAATACAAGTGTGTGAATTATCTAAGTAATCACGACATATGTGTACCATGTATTTTGTATGCAATACACGACATAGGTGTGTGCCTTTTGTATGCAATCCACGTCATAGGTGTATGTATTTTGTTTGAAATACATGATATGGTAATACATTTTTGTACGTAATGCATGATATAGGCGTTTGCGTTGTGTAATTGCTACACGACATGGGTGTATGTGCTTTGTAATTGCTACACGACATGGGTGTATGTGCTTTGTAATTGCTACACGACATGGGTGTATGCGCTTTGTAATTGCTACACGACATGGGTGTATGTGTTTGTAATTGTTGCACGACATGAGTGCATGTATTTGTAATTATAACATGACACGGGTGCATGTGTTGTGTAAGAAATAAGAGGAGGACCGCATGCTGGATTAATATCTGATGCTGGAAAGTTCGGTTCGATAATGTAATTCAAGTTCAATTAGGTACAGTTCACTTGTTTTAAACAAATGATTTACATAATAAACATGTTGCATAGCGATAGAATATAGTTCATGAGATCTTACATGATGAAAATATAGTTACTAGTATGGCGAAAAATGAATGGATTTAATAATAAACAGTTAGAGCGAAGTCGCTTCTGCACTATCTCTGATGTATCACTGCGGAACCAAATTGTGTGGATGTCACAGAAAACTCTAATCGAGATGGAAGCTTTTAAATTAAAAGTTTTACTCAAATCTGATGATTAACATTTTATCAAAAAGCAAAGAAACCAAATATATCACGCGAAGATCCATGCTCGTATTTATCGTTTTGGTAGCTTAAAAAAGCACTAAAATGGCTCATTTTTACAACGTTAGTACCGAGACGATGAAAAGTTTTAAGACACTATAGGGTTTGTCTCATGCTCACAAGCCATCAATCCATCAGCTTTCTTATCCAAAACTCAGTAACCTGAACAAAACCTAGCAAAGACCACGAAGAACTAACACGCTGAGCAATTTTTCACTGCACCCTGCCATCATTTGGATCGATATAGCCATACAGTGACTTAGCCTTTCATTGTTTGCAAGTAAAAATGTGGGCTTTTGCCGCTACTAAGTTGCCTTTCTGTTTTCACTACGTCGGCGCAAGATTGTGATGTGGTCGCGGCGTCCGTGAATTGCTCGAATTCTCTACAGGCCACATCGCTCAGTCAACAAAGATTAATGACTCGGTAAACAATCGGTGGGAACATTCTAAAAAAATTCGGAACGACATAAGATTAATAGAAAAAATCAGGAACTCACTGCTCTCTTTTCTCCGTAAATTTTGTGTGAAATGTGAGTGAACATAAGCACGAGAGGTACTCCAAGTCTTGAAGACTGATCTGAAAACGTCACTTTATACCATGTAATGGATCAAAAGGTCACTAAAATTCTACTTAGATGAAACACCGTCCCAAAATTGTTAATACGAAATTAACAATTCCATTTATGGTCTGACCCGTCTCGAGGCAAGGAAAATATATCTGAGACATCAATCTGCTTACTGTTGGAGCTTATCGTCAGTTAGAATTACAGAATATTAATAAAATTGTAAGCTAGCATAATAGAATAAAGTATTGAAATCATTGATAGCCTTTATCATAAATAAACATGAATTAAAAAAATTCAAGCCGAAAAATGCTGTGTTTCGGTGTCCCAAAGTGACTCGAAAATGTAAGCTCCCCTTTCTTTGCTTCCGACAACGGTTCCGTCTAGAAACCTCGGTGCATTTCCAAAAGAAAACCTTCTTCAAATATTCAATTAAATCTCACCCCTCCTTTCTCGTTCAAAATAAATACGAGAAAGTTTTTTCCTATTACATTGAATTCTAATTTTCAAGTTAATATCTCCTTGTATCTTTCGTCGTACGTTTGAATATACTTGTATTCTTGTTATTAGTGATGATGAAGGAGCCGAATGTATTCAATTGAAATATTCTACATTTATTTGCCATTTTTGCATATACAGGGGAATATCAGGTATAAATTATCGAAAGATGATTTTTAGTTAAAATTACATTTCTCATTTCTAACGGAAAATTTAGGCCTGAAACTAATTAAGCCGTGTACTCACAAGTCAATATTAGACAAGTTATCCTCGTAGAGCTTTTGTAGTTGCTGGAATATCTCAGGGTCTGTCCTGGCCAGATGAGGGTTGATGCCCTGCCAGGTCTGCACTTGCGGGAGGTTGAAGCATTTGCGGACGGTGTTGTAGTCCGGCAGTCCGTTGTCCCGGCCACGCATGATGTTCAGCGCGCCTGCCGTGCAAACAACCAGTTCGCTCAACGAAAATATACAGACGTTCTGAAATTGGCAGTAACTGGATAAATGGATTAAATTAAGTGGTAGAAATTTTTTACATAACGTTCATAAGAGTTAAGTAGCATGAAACTAATGGATTAATGAATGAAATTAAATAGACTAAATTAGATGCCAAATCGAAACAATATACTACTTAATTCGATAGGAAAATGCAAGAAAAAACTTCGCAATAATTCAGTTATTGAAATAATAATTACGAAAATAAAATGGAAGATTCTCAAGAATATCAGAAAAAATAGAAATTGAGCGCTTAAAACAAGATTGTCTTGAACATAAATATGATTTTAATAACAATTTGGAACCGAATTATACTCACCTCGCACTGTGAAGCATTAGATTTCTCGATAAGTCTCATTCACCTTCAATTCTATTCTCGTAGACGTTGAAAATATTTAAAAAACTCACTTGGATCTCCTCAGAAAACATAATTCAACAATTTTAACGAGGAGGAAAATATTGGCTTTATTTCACTAAAATCATCCCAGGAAGAATCGAAAACAATATAAGCGGTACAAACATCTGAATAATTTTATTAGGAAAGAATCAATTTGAGCTCACCGAGGTCGCGTCGAGAGAACTCGAGTGGTCCGAAGAGCTTATTTCTGACGTCGGAGCAGAGCACGTGATCCTCGCGCTCTGCGATCTGTGAAGCCAGCCCACGCATCAGTTGCTCCATGGTGCTGTTAGCCATGCTGTCCTGCCAGCCATCAGACATACAGAGCATTAATTACTTCAGCTGCTCCATGGTGCTGTTAGCCATGCTGTCCTGCCAGCCATCAGACATACAGAGCATTAATCACACGTGCGGCGTTAAGCACAGCTACTGGAACCAAATTAAAATATTTTTAATTTGCAGTAATCAACTGACGCGAAGATTGAAAGAATGAAAGTTCGGTAATTCCGGCAAAAAGGAATAATGCATCTGGAAAACTGGTCGCACGCATTCTATAATGGTTATGAAGACACAAAGCGAAGAACATAGAAGTTTTCTCGCATATTTCAAGTCTATTATCACGCTACCATAAAAAAGTAGATGAACTCTAAAAGTGTAGAACGCCATCGACGATAAGGTTCGAGTTCCTGCATAAAACTTTACACGTGCATTTTTCTGTTCGTAACTAAAAGAGTAAAATACAGTTATTCAAAGTATTGTTTTGCGATTCTGAACGGCATAATGACCCTTGGAACCTACATTCGAGGCTCGCTAGCGTCTGCATTAAACCGGCACCACTTTAGAATTAGTGCCCAGATAATTTGGGTGCACATGACGCTTCAAAAACCAACCCAGCCTGGAGCAGAAAAATACTTGAAATAAAACCACCGACCATCAGCGACGGTGCGTAAATATGCTACGTAGAGTTAAAAAATGATCGAATGTTTGATTCTTGATGAAAGGGTAACTACTGACGGATAGCGCAGAGAACCGAAAAGAAAAAACATGACAGTCATCGATAGCTGTGCGTAATTATGCCACGTAAAGTCAGAAGAAAATCGCATGCTCTGTTGTTGATGAAAGGATAACTGCTGTGAGAGAGCACAGAAAAAAAACCCATCGGTGACAGCGCGTAAAATATGCTACGTAGAGTTGAAAAATGATAGAATGTTTGATTCTTGATGAAGAGATAAATTACTACTGACGGACAGCGCAGAAAAGAAATATAAATAGAAGAGGTCGCGGATGCAGGAGCAAACAGTGGCTTTCCCACACATCACGCGGAGTTGCCTGATGTGATGGAAAGTCCGCCTGAATTTAGTGAACATCGTCATAGATTTCTTGTTGAACCCAAGTATTTTTTCACGTGGTCTTCCACTATTTACCAGCTATTGAAGTTTTTTAGGCTTTATTTTTTTCATGAAGCCTACCTCAAGAATTTAGCGCTAATAACGAATTGAAACCTAAAAAATTATACACATGCAGTTGATTCCATTACTTCTCTTTATGAGAACAGCTGCAGCAAAATTAAGCTCAAGAAGCCTGAATTACGGAAAAATACTTTACTAGTTATGCATTTTTCCGTCCTTCAAAAGAGGAAGGAAAACTTTCCGCCTTTTCTTTCATTATTCTAAAACTTTCCGTCGAGACGCTCGCTCGTTGGGAATTACTAGACGAGTGACTTTGCTGCACCAGCACCGGGACTCCCCGGGGCTGGGGAACTCTGCGCGATTACGGGGACTTGAAAAAGCGACCGGAGTCTTGAACCTGATACGAAACTGAGCAGTCAATGGGAAATTATATAGTCAACGAGAATATATGAGGTCAATGAGAAAATATTCAGTCAATGAGATGATGTGCAGTCAATGAGAAAATTTGCAGTCGATGAGAGCATATTTTTTAGATAAATGCCGTCAATTGCAAACATTGAGTACCAATTTCTTATCTTCATAGTACTAAGAAAAAAGCTTCGAATTTCAGAATATAAGGTAATAAGTTTGACGAACACGTTATCTAGCAGCTGTCGTTGGACGGGCACATTCTGTCTAGGAGATCGTTGAGAAAATCAGCCGTATAGCGACGTCAATTTCCAATTTCCGACGTCTCAAAGGAAATAAAATCCGTCAAATGAGCGTGTCCGAATCAAATTAAAACTTCTAGGCAGAGATTTTTTTTGCCCAAGTCTGAAAAAACACGGCGAAGGTTTCGAGTTTGAGCACTTAACTGGTCATTTAACCGGAGAGTGGCGACTATAAATCCGACTAACACGTTGCAGGCGCACTAACCTTAACCTAGTAAACAAAAATCAGCCAGCCAGTAGATGATGACAATTCTCACTCGACCAATAAATGAACAAGACCCTTGTCCTTGAAAGATCAAATTAGAATTCTAAAAATTAAAAACAATATACCGCAGAGCTGTAGGTCGCCCGGCTCGTCAAGAAAACATAAATGGCGCGCATGAACCGAGAAGTGACATGCTTCAATGGTTGCTCACAATTTGGCAGCTGAACAAAAGCAGGAAAGAAGCTCATGGTTGCCCACAATTTGAAGGATATAGTAAAAAATTCGATCGTAAAGCTAACGCACGAGTAGAAGAATTTGAAGAATTTAAAAAATATACATTGATTTATCATCGCAAAAATGTAAAAATGTTGAAGCACGGAACTTCCATAATATCATTATATCAGTCATTATACATTTATTTAGAAGCGGATGATTGCTCCTGAATTCTGTACTGGTGATAAATAGAAATTCGGATCATTTAGGTAGAAGCAAACTGAAGAAGAAAATGTTAAGAGAAATGAAAGAACGTTATCGGAGAATGCAAGGCTCTTTGGTTAAGTCTTTTTGTCAAGTTTGATACGAGGCATGCAATCGAAACATCGTAATTGGCCCATCTTGAAACAATTGCTATGCAACGCATTCCGCTTGTAGTCACAATTCAACGTAGAGACGAACGAACGTTACTTGAGACGTTACTATGTAGAGACGAACGTTACTTGAGCTACTGCATGAAATTTATAGAGATATGAAAATATCTGGTAATTTTTTGTGAAATTATTAGTCATACTTGTTCAATATACAGTTAATTTTGATCCTACATTTACAGAGAGAAACCGGAATGCATTGGATATTAATGGTCGAGAAGACAGGCTTCATACATACTCCCTTTTTTAGCGCATTTTATCATTTATGGAAAAAAGTACTATTGTGCTCGCCATGTATGTCCGTCCGTCCGTCCGTCCGTGACTTCACGTTTTCGTCGACGAGAAAATGCGCCCTCTGTCACTCACTGCAGTGAGTACTGAGTTATATTTTTTATACCTTAGCAGAGAACTGTCCTGTGATGCAACACACGGCGTTCAGAGAACAAGTTCCCGGGCAAGTATTGCTCAGCTGACAACCATGTCCAGCAATGCCAGAGGCCCGGAGCTCGGCCTTCCTCCAAGGTTTAGGTAAGGCAGCGTCTGCGCGTTGCAACGCTGTTTTTTTTCTCGACTGTTTGTGGCAGATCCTTGCCCCACGTGTGCCGGGAAATCCAGAGGGCCATTAAACACATAGCAATGTATTATACTGACGTTTTCAATTAAATTCACAGGAATGTATACTAATGACATAGCAACTTCACAGAGCTCGGATACAAATTATGAGAAATGGAGTATCAGTGGAAAACAGGTGGTATGTTAATTCTCAATTGACAAGCTAACTCGCTTGAAACGGGCATCTTCCTCCCAATTTGTATGATCTATTCGGTTTAAAGTTCATTTGAGTACATGTGATTTATTTGACGTGTAAAATACGAACTGGTCTTCTGAAGCTGTATGTTATTTCAGGATAAATAATATGCGTTTAAAAATTACTTTTCAAAGACAACACTTCCAAAGAATCAAGTGTCTTTGATGTTACACAAGTACAATGACTTTCTAATTTTATTTTCAAATATTAAAAAAAAATGATTTTCACTTTTTTATATTTATATAAATTAAATTTTTGAAATTATTTATTCTTTCATTTGATTCATGCATTAACTGTCTCCGACTTTACGCAAGTATGCAAATTTTCCGATCAATTAAAGAGGTAGAAGTGTGTTAAACATCGATTATAAGATTTGTAGCAGACAAAATTATTTTGTAAATTTATATAACATTGAAATTTTTTTTTAATTTATAACATCATTTATTCCGTCTTTCATGCATTGTCTCCAACTTTACGCAAGTGTGCAAAATTTCAGATCAATTTAAAGAGGTAGAAGTGTGTTAAATATCGATTATAAGATTTGTAGCTGACAGACAAACAAACAATAAGAAGTGAAGTTAAAAAGAAGTGTTGTAAAAAGATGGACAGTGAGACTTGACTGAGAGGATGGACAGTAATGATGGAAATAGAGGATGGACAGAGAGGATGGAAATAGAAGATGGACAGAGAGGATGAACAGAGGATGGACAGAGAAGATGGACAGAGAGGATGGACAGTAAGGATGGACAGAGAGATTTGACAGAGAGGATGACAGTAAGGATGGACAGAGAGATTTGACAGAGAGGATGGACAGTATGGATGGACAGAGATTTGACAGAGCGGATGGACAGTAAGGATGGACAGAAAGATTTGACAGAGAGGATGGACAGAGAGGATGGAAATAGAGGATGGACAGTGAGGATGGACAGAAAGAATTGACAGAGGATGGACAGAGAAGAAGGACAGAGAAGAAGGACAGAGAAGGACAGAGAAGAAGGACAGAGAAGAAGGACAGAGAAGAAGGACAGAGAGGAAGGCCAGAGAGGAAGAACAGAGATGAAGGACAGAGAGGAAGGACAGTAAGGATGGAGAGAGGATGGACAGAGGGTGGTGCAGAGGTCCGTGTGGCGGCCTTGCGAGAGCGAGGTAGCAGCGTCTGCATATCTAACGGCCTGAAGGTATCCCGGTTACGCCGGCAAATACCATTACACAACCAAGCCTTCACTTCACTCGCATTTCCATGAATTACAAAAAACTGTATTACAGTCAATGCACTTTACCCAAGATCGCCAAGTTGATGACGTCATCAAGGGAGAAATTTTTAACACAAGAGCGAATGAGTGAATGTTACTTCTAGTGTGAAGAAGATCTATTGTGAAGGGCCTCATCATCAATATTCTTTCATTTCTTCAATATTCACACATTCACGAATGCGTGAATGTGCTTCATACATGCACAATTTTTATTGTGGATAAATTAATTGATTGTATGTGCCATATGTGTTCAACATATAAATATTTTCATTATATGACATGACACTGATTGCAATGAATTTGAGGATAATTTTACGGATGCTAGACAAATACATTGGATGAAACACGTACATTAAGTATACAATTATTGACTTCAACTTACATGTGTCTATCTGTTTATAACATACAAGATGAAGACCCATGAGGAATATCTTTGAAGTACAATTCAGGCGATCTATGTAAAAAATCACAAATTTTGCGACGTTGTGAAATGCATAGCAGCATAGGGCATATAATTGTGAAAGGAAAATATTCAACCGAATTTGACGTTACATATGAAGTCAACTTGTAACCTTTGACGGTTCTAAGCACCAAAAATTATCAAGTAGTGTGCCGGAATTCATAAGAAAGAGGTTCATGTTTTGCTGAGCTTTACTGGAAGTAAAGGGCATGAAAATATTCACAACGGAACTCAACAGTTTCGCTCGCAATTTCTAGAAAAAAAATAAATTTAGTTATACTAAATAAAATTGGCGAGATAAAAACTTCTCAGGAACATTTGCACCGCAACATTTTGAGCTCCTTGTATCTGCTTATGACATTAATTGAAGAGCATGCAACAGAGCTAAACACTGAAAAAATTAGAATAATCCTAATTGATACACATTGTTTATGAGAAAATTATCTGCTGAAACAAAAGGAAAAGCCAGCACCACATTTTCAGTTAAGAACTGACGCAGCAGTGAAACAAGCACCTGGGCTTCATCAAGCAGCCGATCATTCGCGTAAAATTCATGGACTTCTCGCCTTGGATGCATAAAAATTAATGATTTTAAATGCTAAAATATTTCTTTCTAATACTGATCCGTACTCAGGCCATTTCTCTAGCAACGAGTCACCGTCTCGCGATGGTGAAAGCTATCACGAAGAAAATAAATTTCATGATGCGGCAAAAAAAGCTTACATAAGGTCAATGCATTGCGAAATTTCGAAATCACCAAATAAAATCTCATCATATTGTAAATAAGCTATGCAATAGTTTATACAAGTGGAAGTCAAATGTACGAGTTGACTAGCGAACCTATTTAGAATGAGCTCAAGATTGACGAACTTTATAATGAGGAAAAACAAAATTGAAATAATACTGCATCATCGCGGAAAAAAGTTCAATATCATTGCATTGATCTTTGTTCGTTTGATTCTGAAGCTGAGCGCGTGAAAGTCAAACGGTGAAGGAAAGACACCGTTCACGATCCAGCCACACCCTCAGCCTTCAGACGCCCTCAGTTCGGGAGATCATTGACAAGAAGTCAGCGATATGATGATAAATGGAATTTTATGCCTAAAGCAGGTAAATAAATATATTCTTATCCTTTTTTGAGGCGAAAATTTTTAAATATGGTATGGCTCACTTTTTTTCATTGGTATCCTAAGCTGAAGCGCAAGTGCGCTGAGTGAGTGGAATCTAGAATGTGAATGCTGTCTCACTTCCACAAATGCATAATATTTAAAAAAAAAAAATGCGAACTTTTCGAGATGATCAATGGAGGCTATTAGTTAATAGGTAGATGTGGGATACTAATGTTTGTAATAATCATATTTATGTAGATGTGCCAGTGATGCTACTATGATTTATTTGAGCACTGATGCTAGTGATTACGATTTCTGGTAGCGATATACCAGTAATTAAGGCTATCATCATCAGTCGGACACTGATAACGCCTTTGGGCCAATTTACGAAAGCAAAATAATTATACATATATATTATAGGTTTTATAATACATTATAATATACATTATATTATAAATATAATAATAATATAATATAATAAATTATATTATAAGTTGTATCGACAGTTGGTGAGCGGCAGAGTTACTCACGGTAGCGTCCCACCAGGTGCTGCAGAGGCGCATGGCGAGATGGCCCGTCTGGGAGCTCACGAAGGGACAGTCTGGCCCTGGGTCTCTTCTGTACAGACCGGGGGGCAGCAACGTGTGTCCAAATCTGTTGATACAAGTCTGTTGATACAACAAATCTGGTGATACATCAAATCTGTTGATACATCAAATCTGTTGACACATCAAATCTGTTGACACCGCAAATACATAAAAGTTTTCTGAGAATCGCGATAAATTTTAATGGCTCAACCAACCAAAGAATCGTGCGGTCAAATCAAGTTCCCGGACAAATAAATTCATATGGGATTTTATATTTTAAATTAAACATTCTACGTTTCTAAGCGAAAAGTTGTCATAATAAACCATAATTTTTTGTTTACGCATGAAACAGAAATTATTATGGCTCACGCGTAGCTGCTTTGAAAATAGAATATTAATAGTAAGAGGTCGGTGGCTTGAATCAGTGCTTTATGTTGAAAACTTGTACGATGTTTTCGCAAAACCGTCACACGCGGGGCGAACAATCGTGCATGAACGTCATGACGAAACTTGAGATCAGAATCAATGCCCTGCATAAGGCAACTAGTGATTAGTTCTTTTCATCTATCGATCATTCGCTAGAAAAGGCAATGGGATTATATCAGCGACGATTGCGCAACCCAATGAGCAGCATCTGGAAATGCATCAGGTCCATTGGGCGCAACTAGTGTCTGGAATCAATATATTTGGTATGGCATGCGTGAACATCACAACTGTGAGTGTGCGGCAGTCACCTCATCAATGACGCAAATATATAAATTAAGAGCGAGTGATTCAATATTAGAAGAAAATCATCACTGAATATGGATCGCAGGAACACGTTACGGATAACAAACTGAAGTGTATAAATGAATACAGAAGAATTTGCACCGCAATAGCTTAAATTTACATAGTTACATTGCTAATCGTTAAATGGCTGGGAACTATTGCAGCCCATTAGAGTCAATGTAGTTCAAGTTCATTCAATAGTTCAATAGCAGTATGAAGACATCTAAAGATAACTACCGAAGACGCGTTGCAGTCACCTGAATGCGGCGGATTGGAAGACGTGCGAGATGCCGGCGTAGACCTCAGGTTTGTAGCCAAGGTAAGGGTCAACTTGCTCGCCTAAAAACGCTGGAACGAACTCGTACAAGATGATATTCTGTGGAAAGAATAAAATTTCGTTACATAGCAGATAGAAAATAAGAAATATTGATTAAATAATCGCTGAGAAAGCATTATACAACTGGAAGTTATTCGTGCGATTTTAAATTAAAATTAAAACGCATGTATCAGCGACACGATAGAGAAGTCGGATAGTCTCAGTTGAAGGCTAGACTTCAAGGAAAAGTTCAATAATGAGTATATAAACAGCCAAATGGCGCTGATAATGTTGGAAGCATTGCGCATAAACGTGTCAAGTCACTGCGCGCTGACCTAATATAATTCAGTCGAATCTTCGTTTCCAATACAACTCGACGAAATTTGTACTTCCATGGGCATATGATGAAAGATGGTCGGGATTTAAAGCTTGCCGTCTTACAAAAACAGAACCATTTAAATAAATCGACGTTCCAATTCCAATTGACAACACAACTTGGTTCAACTAACATACAGTGGGGGGAAATAAATATTCGTACACTTGAATATCGTATTTTAATGTATGTAAGTACACAAACTTAACAGGAAAAGTGATTTAAATTATGTATAGAGACGCATAGTATCCAAAAATACTATCAAAAGAAATTAAATCTCAATGCAACAAAAAACAATGCAACATGTTCACTTTTCGGGTGAAAAAAGTATTCGTACAAAACAATAAATCC